TCATTAAATACATATAAGTTATTGCACATAAATAATACTGAAGTAGTTTGTGTTCTAGCGGTAAGGAACCAATTATTTTCCTTAGAGTTCCAACGTTCAATTTTCTTAGACCAAAATTTTGAAAGAGGATTTCAAAATCCGATCAACAGGCCAGTTGTTTAATATTAAAATCAGCGGTTAACTCGATCAAAGTCAATTTTTGACCAAGTCATTTGCATTTCTATCAAATTAATCCGCTCGGCCCGATCAATGGCCCAGGTTGCTTATTTAACTATGATATTTTTAGATGTTGGGGGCATAATAGAATGGTCCCCAATCTATCAAAAATATAACAAGTAGGACTATAACCAAATGTTACGACACCCAAAGTCCCTAATCTTTAATTTTTGTACAACTTTGCTATTAGCAATACCTCGCATGACACCCTCCTCACAAGAGGAAGCCTCCTCTTGTGAGTGAGGTGTCAACCTTGGATGTACAAATAGCGAAATTGATTTTTGACACTGCAAATGTACAAATAACGATATTGATTTTTGTAATATGTAGGTCCCATTGGAAATTGTGCCATTTAATTTAATTAAAAATTCAGATTTATTTAAAATTATAACTTTACCTTTGTCTTTAATTAAGTAAAAATTAAATAATGAAAAACGAAGAGAGACTAAAGCAAGTTAAATACACTTATGCTTAGTTTCCAAAACGAAGAGAAACTAAGTCAAGTCAAAACCCTCACGCTTAGTTTTGTATTTTCTTTAATAAATGATGGTGGTTAGACCATCTTTGTAATAAAATTTTGGATTTTTTAATTAAAGATAATCATATAATTATTCATCAGAAACTCAAATACTATAAGAATTGGAAGATCGAGACTGCAATCACCAAATTAATAAGTTAAGGCCCTAATTGTGTGTGTCTTTTTTTTTTCTTTTTTCTTTTTTTTAAACAATTCTTATTTGGTACCTTTCGGGAAGATTTCATCTTGGTGCACATTTGGAAAAAAAGAAAATTATAAATTCCTCATAATTCAAGATCAAAGTCAAATATTGAGATTGCAGTGAATATCTATTTATCAGATAAATATTTCATGAATCTTATTACTCTTATGGTGCGTTTGATTGCAAGAATAGAACTTGGGTAAAAAAAATGAATTTCAAAGAATTGGATTGCCTAGAACTTGTTTTTTTGGAAATTGTTAATTAAATTTGTTTAATTCGTATAACTTTCTACATGAAAAATGTTAAAAATTTCTATTTTTTGTGCTTGTTTGGCTTTGTTTTCCATGGAATTTTTCAATTAAATAGATATAATTTATTACAATTGGAGATAAAATTTATTCCAACTGCCCAAAAAAAAAATAGAGTAGTTGGAAAACCAATTCCTACCAAAACTAAAAGAAAACCAATTCTTTAAAAACTTGGAAAAAGGGGTTGGTGGAAAATGAAATCCATGAAAAATTTTGCCCATCAAATATATCATTTGGCTGGAAAATGAAATTTATTTTCCCTGAAAACTGGAGCCTATCAAGCCCATATATTCTCTTCTAAAAGGCACTAAATTTAAAATATGACCAGATTCAATGAACCTCGCCAATCATTTTGTTTGTGTTGTCGTGCCCAAAAGTAGCACTATTCGATCAATAAAGTTATTTGTACAAAGTTGAATTACAAAAATTGAATTACAAAATGTGTTAACAAAATTCATGCCATTAATTTGAAATGATTAAAAAATTTGATTTTAAAATAATTGAATAGAATATTATTTTCTCAACCAACTTTATTACTTTTTATGAGTGTCGCACAGCTCTTATTCGATTGACATTGCCTTCCGTTCACCAATCATATTCTTCCATTTCTTACCCTTCTCGAATCAAAGTTCACATTACAGTCTCAGGTTTTCAGTCTTCTCAATTATTATCTACACTGTGCACCACTAGGGTATGGCTTCTGATGGATTCCGGCCACTGGACGAGAAGTTATTGGTGGAATACGTGAAGGCAACTCCAGTACTGGCTGAGAAGCTGGGCAATCAGTTTGATAAGCTGGAAATTGAAGAAGTAGGCGATGGAAATCTCAATTTTGTGTATATTGTTATTAGCCCATCAGGCTCCTTAGTTATCAAACAGGTAACAAGATCTGTGCTCTCAGATCATTTTTTAGAATTCGACCGACTTGCTAGAGTAAAAACTAAAAAGTTTTTCTTTTATTTATATATTTATTTTTTTGCTAGCCATTATTCGGCATGTTCTCGTTACATTTAAGCTCCCAAGAAAAGAAAATGTGTTGAAAATCAAAGATAGATGATGTTACTTTGATTTGATTGCAAGATATGGCTCCATCAATCCGACTTAATATCGAAGGGCTGAAATTCATCAATTTTCTTTGTATATCCATGCTAGCTAGTGTTGATTGAGAAAGGTGAGGGTTTTTGGTCCATATTAGTTCTAGATTTTCTTGGGAGGAGAATGATTGGGGCAGCATTTCCCGACTTTATTTTGATTTGCAAAATAAGAAGCGAGAGAAGAAAGTGGAACCGGCCATCCTGGTTAGCAAAGGAGGCTAGAATTAAGAGAAGAAGACAACACCAGCATTCTTGGAGTTTCTTACATATTTATTGTTGTTTTATGTAATGTCTTATAGAATGAGGATTTCAATAATATTGATACTCTATTGTCATCTGACTCTAGCAAACCTTCACGATAAAAATCTACCTCGCCGAAGTTTTAATCAACCATAGAAAGCTATATAGTTCTCTAACACATTTACATATTGGGGTGTCTAATATGTAGAACAACTTCTAAATCAAGTGCCTTAAAACCTGAAGGCGTGTCATGGGGAAGATGTTAAGAGTTAAAAGCTTCTTTTATATAGATCAAATATCATCTCTCAATGACCTTGAGGAAGACTAAGAATACTGTTCCTTCTCAAACTGTTTATAAATCTCTGCAGGCTCTTCCTTATATTCGTTGTATAGGGGAGTCATGGCCAATGGCAAAAGAACGTGCCTATTTTGAAGCAATCACACTAAAAGAGCATGGTGGCTTGTGTCCTGGCCATGTTCCTGAGGTTTACCATTTCGACAGCTCGATGTGTTTAATTGGTATGCAGTACATTGAGCCTCCTCATATAATCTTAAGAAAGGGGTTGATTGCCGGGATTGAGTATCCATTGCTCGCAGAGCACGTATCAGACTATATGGCTAAAACCCTATTCTACACGTCCCTTCTGTATCTTACAACAACAGATCATAAAAGTGCAGGTAAGCAATTTGCTTGGTCTTTTTACGATCATCTAACACCTGTACTAGATCTACACTTGACTACAATTGTTTATCAGAAACTTGTATTATAACTTTAGAATGTGAAGATTCTGCCAGTAGCTTTTTGGTTAGTCTTTACAGACCCCTAAGGTACCTAATTTGACTGTCTCCTATGTTGACTTTTTGTTCCATACTTCAGTTTCATGGCCTTCACACCGTATCGTTTCTGAACAGCACCATTATCATTTCCATTCATGTCCTCTCATTATCTTCTTATCCTTTCCAATTCATAATTAGTTTATGTAAGAAATAATGATGAGTTTTAGCTCCTACGTCAATTAATGTTGGAAGTCAGAACATAAATACTAGGCTGTTCATCCTTGCTACTGAATTTTAACCATATTACATGCTTGTATAAGCATGTCTCATTGGTACTTCAATACTTGTGCAGTTGCTAAATATTGCGGAAATGTGGAGATGTGCAGACTCACTGAGCAGGTTGTCTTTTCTGACCCTTACAAAGTGTCTGAACATAACCATTGGACATCTCCTTATCTTGATTCTGATGCCGAAGCAGTTCGGGAGGATAACCTTTTGAAGCTTGAAATTGCTGAGCTAAAATCCAAGTAATCTGCCATGTTAAAATTCGATTCCTTATACTGCATTTTATTAATTTTTTAATAGATGTGGAATTTTTCCTTACGTTTCTTTGATAACCTTCCAGATTCTGTGAAAGAGCCCAAGCTCTTATACATGGTGATCTCCATACAGGTTCTATCATGGTTACTGGAGATTCAACTCAAGTTATTGATCCAGAATTTGGTTTTTATGGGCCAATGGGATTTGATATTGGAGCTTTTGTTGGTAATTTGATTTTAGCTTACTTTGCACAAGATGGACACGCTGTCGATGGGAATGATCGAAATGTATATTCTGACTCCACATTCCTTTTCATCATCACTTATTTTCTGACTATCTTAAGTTTTCTGCAATAACTCTCTGCTTCGCCATGATATGTTTTTTCTTGATATTTTTACTTATAAACTTTAGTGTCATTCAGTTTTCTCATCTCTCGCTCTCTCTCTCCAACTTCTTAGAAATGGCATCTTCTAGAATTTTCCTTCTCATAGTTGCTTGCTGGATTGCTTCCATTCTAATTAGAGTCTTATCGTGCATATAGTAAATAAATTACTTATATCTGTCCATGTTATGATAGAGGGAATTGCTTGAGATTAATAAATTTCTGTTTTATAATTGACATGTGCGTGTAAATCTACCGCGCCCTGGATTTTTTGTTTGAAAGCAAGATTTACTGTGAAAAATTCAATTTTGTTAGTGAGGTTCTTGGTCGAATTTGTTTCTGGAGTAAACTGGAATAGCCGTTTTCAGATACACACTTAAAATGTATTTGCAGAGTTTATCCTCAGTATGACCACTTCATTGAAACATTAAAAGTAGTATGTTCAAGTTGTTTGTTGAGGTTCCGATTGTTTATATTTCTTGAATTAGACACTTCGTTTGAAAGGTGTCATTTATACGAAGTGGATAGTGTTTTTGACTTTCCAAAATGACATTAGGGTAGAGTAATTGTACATCTGGCTGCCAAATAGTGTGTTTATATGTGTATTGGGATCACAAATGGTTGTGCATTGCCTTGAGGGAGATGAAACATACCTGTGTAGTGATATCTAAATGGTGGTTTTTTTCATGAACATTGTCATCAGGAGACAATTTCTCCTCGCAGGCTTAACTTTGCAACTTTTTTTTAGATCATGTATATCAGCATATCAGCATAGTAGATGATTTTAACTTTGATAAATTCAGCTGTAGTGGATGCAAATGTCAGAAATATCAGCTGAAAGGAAATGTGGAGCTTGTCACTTAGGAGAAAGTTGTGTCCTAACTGGTTCCTCTTTTTCCGTGCTTCATTACTCTCCAACTAACATGATTAAGGCCCCAATAATCTCTTGTTAACGAGGTAGTAATAAGAAGGGCCAGATTTGGGATTTATTTTCCTTTTTGGTTTTCTTCCAAAACTTCCATGTCATTTTTGCTTTCAAAATTGCCCATCTGATTATGCCTGTTAGGAATGTGTGTATTCTTTTCCATGTTTTAATGGAACTAATGCCATTCAATCTGTTAGTCCCGTTTGTAGGAATCAAAGGATGTCCAGCAGAATAATTAACGATCTTGATTTAGTAGTGTGGGAGCTGTTTAATTAGTTAATCAGTTACCAGTTGGTTTTATAGTTTAACATATTTCTGTTTAAAGTTAGTTGAGAGCTAACTGCTGTGAAGAAGGGAAAAAAAAACAACAGGAGCGTGTTGGCTCTAATTGTAAAATAGGGCACTGCATAAATAGAGAGTGAAAGTTACAAAAGGGGTGGTACTCGTTATCTGAAAACCACAGGGAAAACTCATAGTTGTATAGAGAGAGAGAGAGCCTATTGTATAAAAGTCAAACTATGAGTGTGTAACTTCTGCTCATACACGTAGTGAATTTGACTGGGAAATTTGTCCTGTTCTTGAATATAGCAATTCTTGTTCTGATTCTTGTAAATTGCTGGTGTCACTTCTGTGTTTTTTTCTTTCTTCATCTCTGTAACTGTTCTTGTTTGTGTGTGCAAATCTTTAACAAGTAGCTTATCCAGTAAAAAAATTTCTTCAATGCAGCATTATAAAGTCTGGATTTTGAAGACTATAACTGAGACTTGGAATCTCTTCTATAAAAAGTTTACTGCTCTTTGGGATGAACATAAGGATGGTCCTGGAGAGGCATATCTTCCAGCTATTTATAATAATCCAGACGTACAGTTGCTGGTCAAACAGATATACATGAAAGAACTTTTCCACGACACACTTGGATTTGGGGCTGCCAAAATGATAAGGTTAGATGGGCTTTTCTCCTCTGTGAATCAGATTCTCAACATTGCGACTTTATTGTACCTTCTGTTATTTTTTTCTCATGCATGTGCAGTGTCTTTGATGGGTGTAGAATTTATACCGTAAGATCAGCGTGTGTACATCACAAGCTTTTGTTGCTCCTTTATATACTGTTGTCGAAATAATTGTTCCCAATATTGTCAAAATTTTCTTGCTAAGACCCAATTTGGAGGTCATAATTTGCGGGAAAAAGCGAGAATACAGAAAAGCTTATCGTCATTTTTAGGTACTTGAGCATTTTGGATGGATCTATGAGAATTGTGTGTACTTAATGCATTTTGCATTTGATGCTCCTTCATGCTTATTACTATAGATAGTTAATAAGTAAAGATGATAAACATACATCATTGACTTGCAGGAGAATTGTTGGGGTAGCTCATGTTGCAGATTTTGAATCGATCAAAGAGGCTAAAAAACGAGCAGATTGTGAGCGAAAAGCTCTTAACTTTGCCAAGAATCTTCTGAAGGAGAGAAGAAATTTCCAAAGCATTAGTGAGGTGGTTTCTGCAATGGAGAAACTCGATTAGTTATCTTCATAATTTTCATATTTTGGGATGTCTAAATATGTTGGTTTTGAGGAGTGTTTTGCAATAACTGCTGTGTATGAATTGATTAAGAATAAACTCCCTTGTGCAGTGGAAGGCTCCCCCTTTTTATTATGGATTCATATGTTTTGCTCAAAGCCTCAAACCCAAGAGTGAGCGAGGAATAACAATTGTGTACATATCAACACGACTCTATTTTCTTAATAATTTCATTCAAAAATTCTTATTTACAAAAAAAATTTAAATATAAAAAACTGATCCCTAAATTAATCTCAATAGTTTGTGTCGAGCGACATAGATTTTGAGGCTGGAGCATTACAACACCTGGTTTCACGGGGTGCCTTTCTTCTTGGCACAGAAAGGGACACCGTGCGGCAGTAGTCTGCTCCGCTAGACTACCTTCCGCCTTTTCTCGGTCGCGTCGGGACGAAAGAAAATTTGATTGCAATTTTGTAGAAAGCTTACAATTGAGAATTTGAATACATTGAAAGTAAATTGAACATTGATTGCTGAAAACTGAACATTACAATTGATGAAAGCAGAAAATTACAAATGCTGGTGCAGGGGGCGGACACCAGTGAGCTTGAAAGATTTTTGAATGACTAATACCCCCTATAATAGCATTCTGAACAAAAACCCAAGTGACGGGAGTAGACGTTTAAAAGACGAGGAATCATACTAATCTTTTACCAATATCAGAGCTATTTTACAATTAAAATAACTATTACAATGAAACGAAAATTACAACTCAAACTTGAAGTAATATTTACAATGTGCGGTCGAAGTTGGGCAAACTGCGGCTGCGATAGTGTCAAGGGGCTAAGTAAAGCTGCGGTCCTTGACATTCTCCCCCATTTGTTTTGGTGACGTCCTCGGTGCCATCAATGCATGATACTCTTCAATTAATGATTTGAAGGCCCCGAGATCTTTTTCTCTTTCCCAAGTATTCTCCTCGCTGCTGCATCCCATCCATTTGACCAAGTACTCCTGATGATCTTTTCTAGAAGCCCGAGTGATTCGATGATCAAGAATAGCTTCAGCAACCTTCTTTCCAGCTTTCTTCAGTTCAAATACAGGTCGCTTTGGCTCATTTCTAGATGCGTCCTCCTTATCCAAAAAGTATGGCTTCAACACACTAACATGAAGGACCTTGTGGATTTTACACCATGAAGGGAGTTCAACTCTGTATGCAACTCTTCCAATCCTCTTCACAATGGGTAATGGTCCAATGTATTTTGGTGACAACCTTGAGTCCTTCCCTCTTGTTGGCTTGTAAACAATTCTGTCGAAAAGCTTAACCATTACCAGATCTCCAACATTGAATTCAATAAAACGACGCTTTAGATCTGCAGCCTTTTTATACCGTTTTTGAGAAAAGATAACTCCGAGCAATTTCAATATTTCGTTTCCACTCTTGAGAAAAGCTCTTTGCTTGAGGGGACTTGGTACTTCGTTCAATATCCACTGTATGAGGGAGTAGCGGTTGCTGGCCAGTAACAATCTCAAAAGGACTCTTATTGGTGGAAGAGCTCTTTTGGGCATTGAAGCAAATTTGGGCCGCATCCAAAAGTTTTACCCAGTTTTTCTGCGAAGTAGAGATAAAGTGCCGAAGATATTCTTCTAGCATAGAATTGAAGCGCTTCCGTCTGTCCGTCAGATTGTGGGTGAAAACTGGAACTCATGCTCAAAGTTGAACCAAGAAGTTTGAACAACTCAGTCCAAAATATGCCAGTGAAACGAGGATCTCGATCACTGACGATGTCCTTAGGCAGCCCCCAGTATTTGACAATATGTTTGAAGAAGCTATTGCCCAATAAAAAAAGAAAGTTGTTGCTTAGATTTTGATTATGTGCATCTGTTGATGTTTTAAGATCATGAAGAGATGTATCTTGATAAATATAGTCAATTGGTGTGTTTTGGAATGGCATGGGTCTTGTCGGAACAAGTAGTGTCGTCAGTATTTGTATTTGCAAGTTGGGTATCTTAGCTTGCACTCTTGACCAAATTTGTTGGCATGAAGTTTGAATGTTGGGTGGTATGTGTAAAAGGGAATGAGAGCTTTTTCCGGTGATATAAAGGTCCAGCGATTTGAGCGATGGTTGGCCGAAATTTTTTGACTTTCTAAAGTGGCAACGCCATTTGATGGTATATGAGATGGAGGTAGGGAGAGGAGGAGAAAGAAAGAGTTTTTTTTTTTTTTTTAATTTTAATAATTTATTTCAATTTATTTGCACTTTTTAAAAAGTTTAGGAGTAAGATTGTAATTTGTTATTTATTTTATTTTCTTTCCTTTTTAGCTTTATTTAAATAAGATGGTATATTGATCATTTTATGTTAAAACTTAGTAAAAATAACGTTTTTCGTAATGAAATGTGAAAATATTAGCGAAAATGTCAAAAAATGAAATGTAGAAATGTATTGTACAAATTAGCCAACCTTTAAATGATTCATTAAATACATATAAGTTATTGCACATAAATAATACTGAAGTAGTTTGTGTTCTAGCGGTAAGGAACCAATTATTTTCCTTGGAGTTCCAACGTTCAATTTTCTTAGACCAAAATTTTGAAAGAGGATTTCAAAATCCGATCAACAGGCCAGTTGTTTAATATTAAAATCAGCGGTTAACTCGGTCAAAGTCAATTTTTGACCAAGTCATTTGCATTTCTATCAAATTAATCCGCTCGGCCTGATCAATGGCCCAGGTTGCTTATTTAACTATGATATTTTTAGATGTTGGGGGCATAATAGAATGGTCCCCAATCTATCAAAAATATAACAAGTAGGACTATAACCAAATGTTACGACACCCAAAGTCCCTAATCTTTAATTTTTGTACAACTTTGCTATTAGCAATACCTCGCATGACACCCTCCTCACAAGAGGAAGCCTCCTCTTGTGAGTGAGGTGTCAACCTTGGATGTACAAATAGCGAAATTGATTTTTGACACTGCAAATGTACAAATAACGATATTGATTTTTGTAATATGTAGGTCCCATTGGAAATTGTGCCATTTAATTTAATTAAAAATTCAGATTTATTTAAAATTATAACTTTACCTTTGTCTTTAATTAAGTAAAAATTAAATAATGAAAAACGAAGAGAGACTAAAGCAAGTTAAATACACTTATGCTTAGTTTCCAAAACGAAGAGAAACTAAGTCAAGTCAAAACCCTCACGCTTAGTTTTGTATTTTCTTTAATAAATGATGGTGGTTAGACCATGTTTGTAATAAAATTTTGGATTTTTCAATTAAAGATAATCATATAATTATTCATCAGAAACTCAAATACTATAAGAATTGGAAGATCGAGACTGCAATCACCAAATTAATAAGTTAAGGCCCTAATTGTGTGTGTCTTTTTTTTTTTCTTTTTTCTTTTTTTTAAACAATTCTTATTTGGTACCTTTCGGGAAGATTTCATCTTGGTGCACATTTGGAAAAAAAGAAAATTATAAATTCCTCATAATTCAAGATCAAAGTCAAATATTGAGATTGCAGTGAATATCTATTTATCAGATAAATATTTCATGAATCTTATTACTCTTATGGTGCGTTTGATTGCAAGAATAGAACTTGGGTAAAAAAATGAATTTCAAAGAATTGGATTGCCTAGAACTTGTTTTTTTGGAAATTGTTAATTAAATTTGTTTAATTCGTATAACTTTCTACATGAAAAATGTTAAAAATTTCTATTTTTTTGTGCTTGTTTGGCTTTGTTTTCCATGGAATTTTTCAATTAAATAGATATAATTTATTACAATTGGAGATAAAATTTATTCCAACTGCCCAAAAAAAAAAATAGAGTAGTTGGAAAACCAATTCCTACCAAAACTAAAAGAAAACCAATTCTTTAAAAACTTGGAAAAAGGGGTTGGTGGAAAATGAAATCCATGAAAAATTTTGCCCATCAAACATATCATTTGGCTGGAAAATGAAATTTATTTTCCCTGAAAACTGGAGCCTATCAAGCCCATATATTCTCTTCTAAAAGGCACTAAATTTAAAATATGACCAGATTCAATGAACCTCGCCAATCATTTTGTTTGTGTTGTCGTGCCCAAAAGTAGCACTATTCGATCAATAAAGTTATTTGTACAAAGTTGAATTACAAAAATTGAATTACAAAATGTGTTAACAAAATTCATGCCATTAATTTGAAATGATTAAAAAATTTGGTTTTAAAATAATTGATGTGAATATTATTTTCTCAACCAACTTTATTACTTTTTATGAGTGTCGCACAGCTCTTATTCGATTGACATTGCCTTCCGTTCACCAATCATATTCTTCCATTTCTTACCCTTCTCGAATCAAAGTTCACATTACAGTCTCAGGTTTTCAGTCTTCTCAATTATTATCTACACTGTGCACCACTAGGGTATGGCTTCTGATGGATTCCGGCCACTGGACGAGAAGTTATTGGTGGAATACGTGAAGGCAACTCCAGTACTGGCTGAGAAGCTGGGCAATCAGTTTGATAAGCTGGAAATTGAAGAAGTAGGCGATGGAAATCTCAATTTTGTGTATATTGTTATTAGCCCATCAGGCTCCTTAGTTATCAAACAGGTAACAAGATCTGTGCTCTCAGATCATTTTTTAGAATTCGACCGACTTGCTAGAGTAAAAACTAAAAAGTTTTTCTTTTATTTATATATTTATTTTTTTGCTAGCCATTATTCGGCATGTTCTCGTTACATTTAAGCTCCCAAGAAAAGAAAATGTGTTGAAAATCAAAGATAGATGATGTTACTTTGATTTGATTGCAAGATATGGCTCCATCAATCAGACTTAATATCGAAGGGCTGAAATTCATCAATTTTCTTTGTATATCCATGCTAGCTAGTGTTGATTGAGAAAGATGAGGGTTTTTGGTCCATATTAGTTCTAGATTTTCTTGGGAGGAGAATGATTGGGGCAGCATTTCCCGACTTTATTTTGACTTGCAAAATAAGAAGCGAGAGAACAAAGTGGAACCTTCCATCCTGGTTAGCAAAGGAGGCTAGAATTAAGAGAAGAAGACAACACCAGCATTCTTGAAGTTTCTTACATATTTGTTGTTGTTTTATGTAATGTCTTATAGAATGAGGATTTAAATAATATTGATACTCTATTGTCATCTTACTCTAGCAAACCTTCACGATAAAAATCTACCACGCCGAAGTTTTAATCAACCATAGAAAGCTATAGAGTTCTCTAACACATTTACATATTGGGGTGTCTAATATGTAGAACAACTTCTAAATCAAGTGCCTTAAAACCTGAAGGCGTGTCATGGGGAAGATGTTAAGAGTTAAAAGCTTCTTTCATATAGATCAAATATCATCTCTCAATGACCTTGAGGAAAACTATGAATACTGTTCCTTCTCAAACTGTTTATAAATCTCTGCAGGCTCTTCCTTATATTCGTTGTATAGGGGAGTCATGGCCAATGGCAAAAGAACGTGCCTATTTTGAAGCAATCACACTAAAAGAGCATGGTGGCTTGTGTCCTGACCATGTTCCTGAGGTTTACCATTTCGACAGCTCGATGTGTTTAATTGGTATGCAGTACATTGAGCCTCCTCATATAATCTTAAGAAAGGGGTTGATTGCCGGGATTGAGTATCCATTGCTTGCAGAGCACGTATCAGACTATATGGCTAAAACCCTATTCTACACGTCCCTTCTGTATCTTACAACAACAGATCATAAAAGTGCAGGTAAGCAATTTGCTTGGTCTTTTTACGATCATCTAACACCTGTACTAGATCTACAGTTGACTTCAATTGTTTATCAGAAACTTGTATTATAACTTTAGAATGTGAAGATTCTGCCAGTAGCTTTTTGTTTAGTCTTCACAGACCCCTAAGGTACCTAATTTGACTGTCTCCTATGTTGACTTTTTGTTCCATACTTCAGTTTCATGGCCTTCACACCGTATCGTTTCTGAACAGCACCATTATCATTTCCATTCATGTCCTCTCATTATCCTCTTATCCTTTCCAATTCACCATTAGTTTATGTAAGAAATATTGATGAGTTTTAGCTCCTACGTCAATTAATGTTGGAAGTCAGAACATAAATACTAGGCTGTTCATCCTTGTTACTGAATTTTAACCATATTACATGCTTGTATATGCATGTCTCATTGGTACTTCAATACTTGTGCAGTTGCTAAATATTGCGGAAATGTGGAGATGTGCAGACTCACTGAGCAGGTTGTCTTTTCTGACCCTTACAAAGTGTCTGAACATAACCATTGGACATCTCCTTATCTTGATTCTGATGCCGAAGCAGTTCGGGAGGATAACCTTTTGAAGCTTGAAATTGCTGAGCTAAAATCCAAGTAATCTGCAATGTTAAAATTCGATTCCTTATACTGCATTTTATTAATTTTTTAATAGATGTGGAATTTTTCCTTACGTTTCTTTGGTAACCTTCCAGATTCTGTGAAAGAGCCCAAGCTCTTATACATGGTGATCTCCATACAGGTTCTATCATGGTGACTGGAGATTCAACTCAAGTTATTGATCCTGAATTTGGTTTTTATGGGCCAATGGGATTTGATATTGGAGCTTTTGTTGGTAATTTGATTTTAGCTTACTTTGCACAAGATGGACACGCTGTCGATGGGAATGATCGAAATGTATATTCTGACTCCACATTCCTTTTCATCATCACTTATTTTCTGACTATCTTAAGTTTTCTGCAATAACTCTCTGCTTCGCCATGATATGTTTTTTCTTGATATTTTTACTTCTAAACTTTATAGTGTCATTCAGTTTTCTCATCTCTCGCTCTCTCTCCCCAACCCCTTAGAAATGGCATCTTCTAGAATTTTCCTTCTCATAGTTGCTTGCTGGATTGCTTCCATTCTAATTAGAGTCTTATCGTGCATATAGTAAATAAATTACTTATATCTGTCCATGTTATGATAGAGGGAATTGCTTGAGATTAATAAATTTCTGTTGTATAATTGACATGTGCGCGTAAATCTACCGTGCCCTGGATTTTTTGTTTGAAAGCAAGATTTACTGTGAAAAATTCAATTTTGTTAGTGAGGTTATTGGCCGAATTTGTTTCTGGAGTAAACTGGAATAGCCGTTTTCAGATACACACTTAAAATGTATCTGCAGAGTTTATCCTCAGTATGACCACTTCATTTAAACATTAAAAGTAGTATGTTCAAGTTGTTTGTTGAGGTTCTGATTGTTTATATTTCTTGAATTAGACACTTCGTTTGAAAGGTGTCATTTATACGAAGTGGATAGTGTTTTTGACTTTCCAAAATGACATTAGGGTAGAGTAATTGTACATCTGGCTGCCAAATAGTGTGTTTATATGTGTATTGGGATCACAAATGGTTGTGCATTGCCTTGAGGGAGATGAAACATACCTGTGTAGTGATATCTAAATGGTGGTTTTTTTCATGAACATTGTCATCAGGAGACAATTTCTCCTCGCAGGCTTAACTTTGCAACTTTTTTTTAGATCATGTATATCAGCATATCAGCATAGTAGATGATTTTAACTTTGATAAATTCAGCTGTAGTGGATGCAAATGTCAGCTGAAAGGAAATGTGGAGCTTGTCACTTAGGAGAAAGTTGTGTCCTAACTGGTTCCTCTTTTTCCGTGCTTCATTACTCTCCAACTAACATGATTAAGGTCCCAATAATCTCTTGTTAACGAGGTAGTAATAAGAAGGGCCAGATTTGGGATTTATTTTCCTTTTTGGTTTTCTTCCAAAACTTCCATGTCATTTTTGCTTTCAAAATTTCCCATCTGATTATGCCTGTTAGGAATGTGTGTATTCTTTTCCATGACAGATTTCTGTTTAAAGTTAGTTGAGAGCTAACTGCTGTGAAGAAGGGGAAAAAAAAAACAACAGGAGCGTGTTGGCTCTAATTGTAAAATAGGGCACTAATATCTTGCATAAATAGAGAGTGAAAGTTACAAAAGGGGTTGGTACTCGTTATCTGAAAACCACAGGGAAAACTCATAGTTGTATAGAGAGAGAGAGAGCCTATTGTATAAAAGTCAAACTATTGAGTGTGTATCTTCTGCTCATACACGTAGTGAATTTGACTTTTAGATCATGTATATCAGCATATCAGCATAGTAGATGATTTTAACTTTGATAAATTCAGCTGTAGTGGATGCAAATGTCAGCTGAAAGGAAATGTGGAGCTTGTCACTTAGGAGAAAGTTGTGTCCTAACTGGTTCCTCTTTTTCCGTGCTTCATTACTCTCCAACTAACATGATTAAGGTCCCAATAATCTCTTGTTAACGAGGTAGTAATAAGAAGGGCCAGATTTGGGATTTATTTTCCTTTTTGGTTTTCTTCCAAAACTTCCATGTCATTTTTGCTTTCAAAATTTCCCATCTGATTATGCCTGTTAGGAATGTGTGTATTCTTTTCCATGACAGATTTCTGTTTAAAGTTAGTTGAGAGCTAACTGCTGTGAAGAAGGGGAAAAAAAAAAAAACAACAGGAGCGTGTTGGCTCTAATTGTAAAATAGGGCACTAATATCTTGCATAAAAGGGGTTGGTACTCGTTATCTGAAAACCACAGGGAAAACTCATAGTTGTATAGAGAGAGAGAGCCTATTGAATAAAAGTCAAACTACGAGTGTGTATCTTCTGCTCATACACGTAGTGAATTTGACTGGGAAATTTGTCCTGTTCTTGAATATAGCAATTCTTGTTCTGATTCTTGTAAATTGCTGGTGTCACTTCTGTGTTTTTTTCTTTCTTCATCTCTATAACTGTTCTTGTTTGTGTGTGCAAATCTTTAACAAGTAGCTTATCCAGTAAAAAAATTTTTTCAATGCAGCATTATAAAGTCTGGATTTTGAAGACTATAACTGAGACTTGGAATCTCTTCTATAAAAAGTTTACTGCTCTTTGGGATGAACATAAGGATGGTCCTGGAGAGGCATATCTTCCAGCTATTTATAATAATCCAGACGTACAGTTGCTGGTCAAACAGATATACATGAAAGAACTTTTCCACGACACTCTTGGATTTGGCGCTGCCAAAATGATAAGGTTAGATGGGCTTTTCTCCTCTGTGAATCAGATTCTCAACATTGCGACTTTATTGGACCTTCTGTTATTTTTTTCTCATACATGTGCAGTGTCTTTGATGGGTGTAGAATTTGTACCGTAAGATCAGTGTGTGTACATCACAAGCTTTTGTTGCTCCTTTTGCATTTGATGCTCCTTCATGCTTATTACTATAGATAGTTAATAAGTAAAGATGATAAACATATAAAGATGATAAACATACATCATTGACTTGCAGGAGAATTGTTGGGGTAGCTCATGTTGCAGATTTTGAATCGATCAAAGAGGCTAAAAAACGAGCAGATTGTGAGCGAAAAGCTCTTAACTTCGCCAAGAATCTTCTGAAGGAGAGAAGAAATTTCCAAAGCATTAGTGAAGTGGTTTCTGCAATGGAGCAACTCGATAAGTTATCTTCATAATTTTCATATTTTGGGATGTCTATATATGTTGGTTTTGAGGAGTGTTTTGCAGTAACTGCTCTGTATGAATTGACTAAGAATAAACTCCCTTGTGCAGTGGAAGGCTTCCCCTTTCTATTATGGATTCATATGTTTTGCTAAAAGCCTCAAACCCAAGGCGAGGAATAACAAATGTGTACATATCAACACGACTCCATTTTCTTAATAGTTTCATTCAATTATTCTTATTTACACAAAAATTTTAAATATAAAAAACTGATCCCTGAATTAATCTCAATAGTTTGTGTCGGGCGACATAGATTTTGAGGCTGGAGCATTACCACACCTGGGTTTTCCCAGTAACTCGAAGAAAATGATTACCATTTGGAACGAAGATTTCCCTCTCCGTTCCAATTATTTTTACATACCTTTCTGTTTATAATGGTAAAATCATCCATTAGAATGAAATTTAACAATGTATTTAAAGATGAGGGTAAAATTGTCCACTGGGGACCTAAGTACTATCAAAATAAAAGGTTGAGGATGTAAATGACACTTTTTAAAGGTTGAGAACAAAACAAAAGTGCCATAAGTGACAAAGGTTGGGACCTTCACTGCTATTTACTCCAAACATAACAAAATTTCCTTCGCAATTTCCTTCGCTTGTTACACTCCCACCACGTCTTCGATTTCTAACTTTCTGCCCACAAAATCCAAACAAAATAAACTTACATTAATATCTTCTCGATCTTACATATTTACCACTTACAAGTGCTTCCATTTCAGAGAGAACTCGACATTCGAAGTGTAAAATTTGCCTAAGGCAACCCAAAATTCATCAGTGTGAGGAAAAATTGTTGAGAACGGCAGCAGATGACCACAAATCAGCCCCATTCGAATCTGCTACATGTACAGTGAGTTTCAATGGCACCAGACACAAACCTCTGCTTCTCAGATCATCCGTTAGTTTTTCACTACTTCCCCGGATTTCTCCATTCTCCTGTATACAACGAACAACACAAAAATAGATGCTAATTATTACGTGCTACAGTATACTCATCATTTAATATCCAAAGTTTCAAGTCATGTAAACTATTGATGGTACCAAAATATATCGATCTAGACGAATAGAAAAGATCAAACTAGAAGGAAAGACCATTCTTGTACCCTAAAGTCAAAAGTATGGACTGCACTCAAAGCAAATGGTCTAGGAGCCCATTTGACAAAACTTTTGCTTTTATTTGTAAAAGAGATTAGTCAAGAAGGTAGATCTTAGGTCAATTTTCTCTTAAAACTCTTCAATAAAAGAGATTAGTCAAGAAGCTAGATCTTAGGTCAATTTCCTCTTAAAACTCTTCCAGCTAGACAATAAAATCCCTCATGGAATTCCTCTTAACCAATGAATAAAAGATAGTGCATTTATTACTTTCCTTGAGGAAGATACACTTTGCCTTTTGATAGTAAAAACTACGTTCCGCTTCACATATAGTAACGGTCTTCTTCCTCAAAATTAGCAACCAAAATCTAAAAATCAGCATTGATGGGCTGATTATGAAGCTGTAATTGAGCAGATTCTAACTCACTTTTCGCCTCGATTACTCTACCCGAACTATGCCCAAAATGCTTGAAATTAAGCTCCTTCAAAGCCCCCTTTAATTTGCACAATTTCTTGCAAAGGATGAATTGTTTTGTCCCCCGCACATAAAAATTTCAGCAGTCCCTTATCAAATCATTGAAATCCACATGCTTGGTCCACATGTTAAAGAACTTGAAAGGGCTTTTTACTTTCCTCACATGGTCATGTATAGAGACAATGCAAGGGGAGTAATCGGAGAGACATCCGGATGGTAGGAAATTTACTTCAACAAAAGCCCCATTTTGTATCCAAACATCATTAACCATAGCCCTATCAATTTTGCTCCAAACCGACCCATTAGTCCATGTGTAAAAACAACCAATGGAGTGTACATCCGAAAGACCCACGTTAAGATAACAAGTTGCAAGATCTTTAATTTCATACGGGGTAACATCCGCCCCGTTGCATTTCTCATCAAATTTAAGCACATTGTTGTAGCCACCCATAATTAACCAAGGTAACGACACATTTTCATTTATCTCCATAATGGTATTCCAAAGAGGCATTCAGATTACCATAGTGTGGAAACCATATACAAAATTTACAGGAGAAGTATAAGATGTTACCTTGCAAGTAGCTTTAACATGAATAATTTGTGGATGAACCTCCATCACATCCAAAAGAACTTTGGATGGATTTCACAAAATTAAGATCCATCCGGCTTGATGTGTGCAAAAATTATTAACTTGCATGAAACCAAAGAACTTGTCCCGCATAATCCTCATCAACTTCCGGTCCTCCAACTTTGTTTCCAAAATTGTCATAATTTCAATGCTATGAAACTTTATAAACTCTCGAATCTCATTTTGTTTGAGGGGTGGATTCATGCCCCTAATGTTCCACGAAGTGATCTTCATGAAGAAGCAAGGGAAATTCCCTTCTTCTCAAGCCCCGACTTCTTTTTCTCTTCTACTTTGCCTTTGAGCTTAGCATTTCCAGTTTTAGTAGAACCTGCTTCAATGGAGTTGGGAGGCCCATCGTTTCCAAATTTGCCGGGCTCAATCTGAGCATATTTTTTCCCCCAATACCCCTATTTTTCTTACTCACAACCTTCTCAAACGGCACTTCAACCTGGGCACAATTATCCCCTAGCTGGACGTCCATATTCTACTCAACAATCTGCCCAGAATTTCAGTCCACATGCTGTCTGTCCAGATTTTCGACCAAGTTGCTGGTCATTTTCGCCATCCCTAGCCAAATCATTTTGTTCCTCAATTTGTTGCAACATACATGCTGCATTATCAACAGATTTGTGAGCAATTGGGACAGATTTTCCATCGTTTCCAACCTTCTTTAGATAGGAACCAGCAACCTTGCCTTTACCTTTCTCCCCACCAGAATTTTTGTTGAGAAGAAGGGAATTTCCCTTGCTTTTTCTTCATGAAGATCGCTTCGTGGAACATTAGGGGCATGAATCCGCCCTTCAAACAAAATGGGATTCGAGAGTTTATAAAGTTTCATAGCATTGACATTATGGCAATTTTGGATACTAAGTTAGAGGACCGGAAGTTGATGAGAATTATGCGGAACAAATTTGTTGGCTCCATGCAAGTTAATAATTTTTGCACACATCAAGTCGGAAGGATCTTAATTTTGTGGAATCCATCCAAAGTTCTTTTGGATGTGATGGAGGTTCATCCACAAATTATTCATGTTAAAACTACTTGCAAGGTAATATCTTATGCTTCTCTTGTAAGTTTTGTATATGGTTTTCACACTATGGTAAGCCGAATGCCTCTTTGGAATACCATTATGGAGATAAATGAAAATGTGTCATTACCTTGGTTAATTATGGGTGACTACAACAATGTGCTTAAGTTTGATGAGAAATGCAACGGGGCGGATGTTACCCCGTATGAAATTAAAGATCTTGCAACTCGTTGCCTTAACGTGGGTATCTCGGATGTGCGCTTCATTGGTTGTTTTTTTCACATGGACTAATGGGTCGGTTTGGAGCAAAATTGATAGGGCTATGGTTAATGATGTTTGGATACAAAATGAGGCTTTTGTTGAAGCAAATTTCCTACCATCCGGATGTCTCTCCGACCACTTCCCTTGCATTGTCTCTATACATAACCGTGTGGGAAGAATAAAAAGCCCTTTTAAGTTCTTTAACATGTGGACTAAGTATGTGAATTTCAATGATTTGATATGGGGTTGCTGGAATTTTTATTTGCGAGGAACAAAACAATTCATTCTTTGCAAGAAATTGAGCAAATTAAAGAGGGCTTTGAAAGAGCTTAATTCCAAGCATTTTGGGCATATTTCGGGTAGAGTAATCGAGGCCAAAAATGAGTTAGAATCTGCTCAATTACAACTTCATAATCAGTCTACTAATGCTGATTTTCAGATTTTGATTGCTAATTTGAGGAAGAAGACCATTACTTTATGTGAAGTGGAACGTAGTTTTTACTATCAAAAGGCAAAGTGTATCTTCCTTAAAGAAAGTGATAAATGTACTAAGTTCTTTCATTCATTGGTTAAGAGGAATTCCAAGAGGAATTTTATTGCTACCGTTCTTAAAGAAGATGGGATGTATACTTCATCACAAGATGAGGTGGCTAGTGAATTTGTAAAATTTTATACTTCCTTGTTGGGGAAGAAATGCTCATCTCGACCTATTGACATAGATATCCTTTCAAATGGTCCCTTGGTTTCCCCGGAACAAGGTGATATCTTGGTTAGGGACGTTTCTCATGAGGAAATAAAAGATGCGTTTTTTGATATTGGGGATGACAAATCTCCCGGGCCGGATGGCTATACTTCTTGTCTTTTTAAGAATGCTTGGGGGATTATTGGTGATAATTTTGTTGGGGCTATCTCGAAAATCTTCTCTCCGAGTTGTATTCTTAAACAAATTAATCACACAGCAATTGCTTTGATGCCTAAATTGGATCACACGTCACATGTTGGTGATTATAGGCCTATTTCTTGTTGCAATGTTATTTATAAAGTGGTTGCTAAAATACTTGCTTCAAGATTAAGACCCATTTTGGGAGACATTATTGATCATGTGCAAATCGCTTTTGTGGAAGGTATGAGTATTATGGAGAACATTCATCTTGCCCAAGAGCTATTGAGGCAATACAATAGGAAAATAGTTGCTCCTCGATGCCTCTTGAAAATTGATCTTTCGAAAGCCTATGACTCGGTGTGTTGGGATTTCCTTAGAGATGTCCTTGTTGGTTTGCAATTTCCTTCGAGATTTGTTCATTGGATTATGGAGTGTGTTACTTCTACATCATACTCTATTGCTTTGAATGAGACTTTGCATGGATTTTTCAAAGGTGAGAAGGGTCTTCGGCAAGGTGATCCCCTTTCTCCTTTCCTATTTGTGCTTTGTATTGAATACCTCTCGAGATTGCTCAAAGATGCCACATATGATAGTGATTTCAACTTTCATCCTAAATGTGCCCCCAAAAGATCAACCATTTAGCCTTTGCCCGATGATTTGATGCTATTTGCGAGGGAAGATTTTTTATCGGTTCAAATTCTCATGGATTGTTTTTCTCATTTTGGTTCGGTCTCGGGATTAAAGTTCAATGTCCTTAAATCCAGCTTGTTTACAGCTGGTGTGCATGGACAAATTATTAATGATATCATGGAATTAACTTGTGTTCCTGGGGGGAGTATGTCATTTCGGTATTTGGGCATCCCCCTTGCATCGAACAAACTCAAAGTAAGTGGTTATGCTCATTTTCTTGATAAAATTACATCATATATTGATGCATGGAATTCCTCTACATTATCATATGCCGGCAAGATTGAACTTATTAGGGCTGTTCTTCAAGGAGTTGAATGCTTTTGGCTATCTATTTTCCCTATTCTGGCTACAATTATTTCTAGAATTGTTAGCCTATGTCGGACATTCCTTTGGGGATCTAAAAAATCGTTAGTAGCGTGGAAGGATATATGCCTACCAAAGGAGGAAGGGGACTTTGGATTAAAGGATTTGAAGAGTTGGAATTTAGCGCTTCTTGCTAAATCCCTTTGGAACATCCATAATAAAAAGGATTCCCTATGGATTTGGTGGGTCAATCATGTGTATCTTCATGGGTCTTGTATTTGGGAGGTTCACCCTAGGAAGGATCATTCACCACTCTTCAAGAAACTTTTTGAAATTAGGGACACTCTTTGTGAATATGGCGCTGCCCAACAGATTTTCTTTCGTGGTCGGTATGCTGGAATGGGATAGGTTTTTGCTGGAAATAATTCTGCACGACAGGACCTTAATGACAGGTTTTTTGATGCCAATCTTGCAATTAACAGCCCGGTTCATGGGCAGATAAGGGATGATCATTATGGCAAGAAAATTATGTTATTCGGTAAGCAGTTTTTGCAATCTTAGACTGAAAATCTGGGCAGTTCTGTAAGTGGTAAATTCACCACTAAAATTGCTTATGATTTCTTTAAACCTAAAGGTATTTTCAAGCCTTGGGAAACGGAAGTTTGGAAACCATGCATCACTCCGAAGCATTCTTTTATGCTTTGGTTAGGGGCCCAATCTAAGCTCCTAATTAAAGATAAATTGCCCTACTTGGATATCGATCGCAAGTGTGTTTTTTGTAGCTGTTTTGAGGAAACTTGTGAGCATCTTTTTTTCAAATGCTCTTTCACATCTTCCTTATGGGGGAGCATTAGGAGATGGCTTGGCATTACAAGATCTATGTCCACACTTGCTATTGTTCTTAAGTGGTTGAAAAAGGAGGCCCGTGGGACTTGGCTTAACGAGGCGAAGAGGATTGCTCTTGTAAGCACAGTGTACTACATTTGGCTTACGAGGAATAGGAAGATATTTGAAGACCCCTCACCCGACTTGAATTCCATTGTGAGACAGATCAAGACACACGTATACAAAGTCATGTTTACTTTGTATTCGGATGTCTTGATTCATTTCGAATCCTTGGCCGTGGATCATTGATCTTTTATGTATTTTGCCTTCTTTTGTTTCTCCCGGGTATGTCCGGAGTAGTTGTTTATGTTTATGGACATTGATTCGCTCGGGAATGCTCGGTGTACTTGTATTTGATTATGGACATTGTTTCGCCCAGGTATGACGAGTGTACTTGTACATGGTACATTTTTTATCAATATATTTACATTTACCGATATAAAAAAAACACAAGAAGAATCACTAGAATTCTCAAGGAACAAGTGTGCACCAAGTGGGAATTTCTCTCACCAGGTTGAGAGCATCTCTCTCTAACTTACAAAAAAAAAAAAAAAAAAAACCACCCTCAAATTTTGAATACACGCATAGACATTCTACCTATCTAACCTTCTCGTCAACTTAGGGACTTTGAGGACACTCCTTGCCACTTTTTTATTTGAAGGCTCATCAACGAGAAATACTAGAGCCACCCAAGAACAAACGTCAGGCTAGGTATTCAACTACATTACTTGTAATTATCCTACTCTTAATCCATGCATTTCCTCATTACACAACATAGCTGACTTTTTAAGGAACTCGAGATGGGACTGAAAACATACATATTTCTTGGCCATCATTAACAATAATCTCTCCAAATCGATGTCCAAGAAGCATTTCTTGCAAAATTTAGCCATATATTTCTCTTTAAAATAAAAATCTTTAATTGTCATACTCATTTTCAACTATATTCACGCAATAAAATATTTTACACATAAATCCAAAATTTTTTCCTACTTTAACCATTTTACAAAAAATCATTATTTAAAACATCATTTTTATTTTCTCTCAATAATGACCATCAAACATTGTTTAAGCAGATTTCAGATTTCTAGATTTAGCACTTGCTTTTCTCGTACTCATTTTTAATCGCACATTCTCTCGATAAAATATTTTTCACGTAAACACAAAACTTTTTCATATTTTTTTAACTACATATTCTCCAAAAATTTATTTACTATTAAAAAACTCAACACATTCTACACAAACAAAAAAAAGGGGCTGTCGAACGGGGGCTTAAGCAGTAGCTATAGCAGATTGATATCGATACTGAGCACAATAAGGTAAAAGCAGGCAGTTTAGTACAAATTTCAGATAAAAAATATCTGACAAGAAAAGGTACAACTTACAGTGAGGGAGGATGAAGGCTGCAAATATGGAGAATAGAGAACCTGGACCTGATCCTGCAGAAATCTTATGTATCCCAAAGCTTCATGAAGTACTGATGCCGTGTCAGTCTGCACATAAACACGCAAGAAAACGGAGGATTTCAGATCAAACGCATAAACTTAAACCTAATTTGATTTGTTTATTAAAGAGGGTGTCAAGAACTGAAGATGAACCTTGCCAAAGGGTGACACAAGTTGTTGCAATGCTGTAATTCTTTCTCCGAGTTTTTCTTTCTTCTTTCCCTGTATCATGCATGGAGAAAAAGGTGTTTGAATCAAGCATTTAGCATTATCAATTTCACATGGTTCATATATATGTGTGTGAGACCTTTGCAGAGCGGGTGATAATAGAATTTTCTGATTTCGTCTTCTTACAGCTTCCGACAGGTGCCCGAGCATTCGCCTCAGGATTCCTTGAAACATTTCTCTTTTTCTACACGAACAAAAAACAAAACCAGAAATTTAATTTTAAAGTTTAATTGCAATAAACCCATAAAAGGATTTAAGTCACAAACAACAACATTGGACTTGGGCAATGTGATAATGTCGCTTGCTTTTGTCGAAGAAGCCGAGGATGAATCGCTGCATGCCACTCCAGTTTTACATTCCTTTTGATAATCAGCAAATCGCAGTAACTTCGGAGAGTAACCAGATGAGAAAAATGGTGAAAAATTGAAACACTCATTTGCCTCAAGATTCATAATTTCATCATCCCCTAACAGAAGTTGGGAGTACCTCCCTTCGGCTACTGGTTCATCCTCAAACGCCCCATTGCTCGCCATTAATAGGCCAAAAGAGAGTTTTCTTCTTGTACAACGGAAGCTTCTTCTCTTCGAGTTAGCTATTGAACGACTTTGTATCTATGTATATATGTATCTTTTCGTCTTTCGTATGCAAATCTTGGGACGGAGTAACGGAGAGCGAACGTTAGATAGATAGGGACTTTGGTTTTGTCGTCATAGTCAAACTTCAAAACCATCCTAACGTTACCCAAGAAAACAGTGATTTATCCATCCAAAGCAAATGACCCTCCGGTTCCGGACCCGAAATCCGAATTTGGGAAAAACGGACCCGGGCGAACAGGATTTCTGGTGTTTGGCGTGGCGCACCCTGAAACCCAGCCATTGAGTCTAACCCATTCGTCATACATGCATATATAGCATGGCCCATGGACGTTACATGTGTTGGTCTTTTGATATTTGGCAGGACCAAGATTTGTTTAATTTAAAAAAAAAAAAAAAAACATAATTTTTTTAGGACACGAATAGAATTACATTTAAAGAGATAGTTATATAATACTAAATTCGACGAAATGACCTGACCATCTCTGATAAATAGTAAAAGTTTCTTTATCTAATTACAATGTCGAATTTGAGAATTTGGGTAGAATCGACAGTCTCTCTAGCATTTGGTCACGGAACTCTATTGATGTCTTTGGGTACGTAGAGTTTTCAAATATCATCTGACTTAAGGTTTTCAATGTTGATTTAATGGCAAATATTGAAGGCAGGTAATTAGCATAAACCGTCATTACTTTACAATGTTGTTGAGCAAAACGTCCTTACTTTTCAGTTTTTTGTATTTTCACACGTATTTTTCACTTTTCATTGCGAAAAATATCATTTTCATTCAATTTCTCAGTTAAAAAAGGTAAATTACAAATATACCCTCTCATTCAAATAAATTATGGAAAATTATTGAATAAATTGCAATTATATTTTCAAACTTTTTTAAAAAATGCAAATAAGTTCAAATAAATTATTAAAAAGATAATTAGCATAAAACGTTCATACCTTTCAATATTATTGTGCAAAAGTCTATACGTTTCATTTTTTTGAATTTTCACATTTCATTGATTCCTTTCTTTTTTAAATTATTTATTTGTACTTTTTTGAAAATTTTGGGAGTATAGTTACAATTTGTTATTTATTTTTCTTTTCTTTATTTTTCTTTTATTTAAATATGATGGCATATTCGTCATTTTAAAACTTCTAATTGAGAAAATGGAAGAAATGATGATTTTCATAATGAAATGTGAAAATAAGGATGAAACTTGAAAAAAAAATATATAAAAGGTGGAAAAGTTTTGCACAATAATATTGAAAAGTTGAGACATTTTGTGTTAATTATTCTTTTAATAATTTATTTGGATTCATCTGTAGTTTTCTAAAAATTTGGAATTATAATCGTAATTTATTCTTTAATTTTTTTTTCTTTGTTTGGTTTTTT